CCAGCTGGGCTGATCGTCCAGGGGCAAAGTCCACAACAGGAATGGTGGTTATGTTTGAATATGCTGTGGTAATGCATAAATTTTTTAAAACAAACAATCATAGCCACTAGTACTTGTGAAGCAGAGTATGCTGCCATAAAGACACCATTATACAACTTGAATGGATGTATCAATTATTGAAAGATTTGAAAGTAAACTGTAATCTTCCAATTCAAGTTTCCTGTGACAACTCTGCTGCCCTGAGCTTGACTGAAGACCGTGGTGCAAGAGCCAGGAGCAAGCACATCTTAATTCGTTATCAAACTGTTAAAACACATGTTGCAGATGGTTTTGTACAAATTGTTAAATGTGCTTATGGTTGTAATCTTGCTGATGTATTGACCAAATGTATGTACTCTGATCAGTTTAGCTACTTCAGAGTAGGTTTGGGTGTAACTCTTGCTCCCTAGGAGGCGTATTAAGATATGGGTCAAAATGTCAAAGGTAGCAAGCAGTTACTGTAGATGAGTTTGATCTGACTGTCAAACCTAGCTGTCAGGCTAGCAATCATGTAACTGCAGACAGGTGCTTCTACCAGGTGTTGCTCTTTCAGGTCTTGTTAGAGATTACAGCACCTTGTTATGGATTGGCTAGAGTTCAGCACAATAGCTGTCTGCTTAGTTAGCTATGGGGGACTCAGTTCTCAGAGACTAGGACACGGCATGCTGTTCAATGGCCTGATAAATATCTGTATATATTCACCTTTATAAACTCTCTGTGCACCTTCATATCTGGTCAGTCTCCTGTTTCTTATTTTCATAACCCAATAGTAACTCATCCAGGCCTGTTACATGTATTATCGTATACCACTTTGCAAAAATTGTCTTACAGATTCATTAGATTGTTAATGCTTAGACTGATAAAATAATATGTAATTTAGTTCCTACTTCATGAATACTCTCTCTTCTTGTAGCACTGAGGAAAGACCTGGGGGGAATAAAAGTATATAATTTGTTCCTGCCTTTCAGGAAGGCACATCTGTTCTTACTACAGATGGTAAATCCTTGACTTTAGCAACTGGTGACAGTCTTCTCATCCCTGTACAGACTAAGTAAGTATAAAACCATATATTCTACCTGTGGGTGGCTATGTTTTAACATGTCCTTCTCTTCATTTAAAGGTATTGATGTATTATTGTCCTATCTGCTTGTTGATGTTATACTAAATAGAAATATCAAATACCCCTGTTGAATCATTAAGCTCACCTTGGGCCAGTCATTATTTTTCAGGGCCCAAGCTGAGAAGAACAGGTTCCCTGCTTTGTTAATAGCATTTCAAAAGGGAGGGAAAGTGTGTTTTTAAAGAACATATTTTCTGCTTCAAAATGGGAACAACAAAGCTGTGAGCTCCATTTTAAATAGTGAAATTGAGTGGCAATTGTAGGGATTAAACTGCTTTTCCCTTCCCTGTACAGTACCCAGGCAAATTGAAGCTGGTAAGAGATTCACATTTCTTTTGTTCTGTAAGTCCTCAGACTTAACTTTTTTCACAGGGTTATTTGAGGAATGCTGGGATAAAAAATGATAGTACTAAATTATTAAATTATATGTCCTTCAAATCAATGGTAGTCCACACCTGTACCTTGTGGCATAAACTACATCCCAAATAAGAGATGATGTCATGTAGTTGTACAATTACAGTACCTTCCAGATAATACCATAGGAAAACCATCCCCTGATGCCTTGGGATATTTACTCCTCTAGTCTTCTGGGCTGGGATGCAGAAAGCAGCATCACAAGGAAGACAGGCAGCAGTGTGGTCCTCACTATATGGCCTAGTAGCTAGATGCATAGGCTCTCCAAGTCTTGTCCAGTTGCAACAAAAAGCCATTTGGTCTTTCATAAGAACATAAGAGACACCAATGTTGGATCAGGCCCATCCAGTTCAACACTCTGTCACACAGTGGCCAAAAATTCACATTTGTGTTACCCCCTTTTGCAGACTGACCACTTGTGCTTCAGCTTCAATCTGGTCACTATATCTTAAGGTTGGCTGCGTCTAACTCAGTGAAAGGGAACTGATGCCTGAAGATTTGATTAGCGTCAGCTGTGCTGAATCCTGCTATATATCAGTCCACTCAAACCACTGACAGGATGTTCTTCCATGGTCATAGCAATCTGGTCTAATGACTGCAACATAGCACTTGCACAGATTTTGACAAATATCTGTATAACTGATTGTTCAATTAAACCAGAATGTCCCCTGTCAATCTGTTTATTGTTTCCAGTATAACATTTATTAGTAATTATATTCTGAGCAGGAGGAAAGCATCAGTAGAGGAGAGAGGGAGATGTATTTGGTGACAGTACAGAATCACTCAGTGTACTTGAAAGCTCATGTAGCATTGTTAACAAGCAATACATGTCCGAAGGGGAAAGCATAATATATCTGCCAATGAAAGCAGTGTTACTCCTCAGCTCATGGAGAGAGCCACATTTGCATTTACCATCAACCAAAGCAGACACATAACTATCGTATGTCCTGTGCGCCACCCCTACCGAACACATGTATGCAATAATATAACTATTTTGTATTAACTATAGAATGATAACCTTTTAAATTATCAAGGTACCTCTGAGCATGTTGTTCTTTTCCACCATTGTTCCCCAAACTTAGCCACCCCTTGTGTACCTAGAGTCAGGGGAAGGGCTTTCCCTCATTGCCTTCCTGCTCTCTCCTCAGCATGAGGCACAAATTGCCAAGGCAACAGGAAGAAGGCCAGCTGCCTTTGGGAAAAGGGGAGTAAAATCATCACCACACCACCCGTTCCCTCAGTGGCAGCCAGATGATGGCTTTACTCTCTTTTCTCTGCTGCTGGTTTTGTCTCTTCCATACTACTGTCTGAATGCTGGGATGGAAGTGCAAAGACTGTAAGAGGGGGTGTTGGAGAGGATGCGCCTTTATATCCATCCATGGCCCACAGCTCAGGGAGGCCTGTAGCTTACCTGTCCTCTAGTCCCTGCAGTAGCAACCAGGACCCCCTACTCATATTCCTGAAGCACAGGGCAGATGCCACGTCGGGAAATGGTGCTCACAGGAGCCACAGGTGACATATAATATCACTGGCTTACAGTGAAACTGGAAAGATGACAGGGCTATTTTTAAAGATCAAGCGACATCAGTCTTATCATATTTAAGATTTTATTGTATTGTATTATGCTATATCTTTGATTCAGTTATGAACATTCTAAGAGTTTGTGGTGCTATTCTGTATTTTTAAGGTTTCATTGGCAAAGAGAAGAAGGATCTATTGTTCTTCATGTTGTTCAGGACCCGCAGCAGAAAAGACCATATGCCTGAGTTTGATATATTACTGACAAGATAGACAAATCAATTTCTCATTAAAATTGTTTAACGTTGTCATTTCACAAGAGTGCACAATTAACAAAGTGATCTCTGTGTGTGTGTGTTAGGAGCGTGTGCTAAGAAAAAAATGTTATAATTTTGGATCTGGGAGGGGGGATTAACATGATTGCATATGTTCAGGTAGAATGTTACCATTTCAGGATTTAAATCTGTGTAGTTCTGGAGTTCGGGACCATTATTTTCAATAGGGAATGTATCTGAGGATCTGTGACAGCTGTTTATAAAGATAATGTTTATAAAGGTAATGGCACCAAATTTGCACACAGTCCCCCCCTGTAACCTAAAGATGCCCTAATTTTCAAGCAGATTGAATAAAGGGGGCTCGATTTCTACAGATCCCCAAAGTAAGCAACTCTCTGCCCAGCAAAATGGCAGTCAGTCAGCAGTCTAGCAGGAGAGCTCCAACTGACCACGACATTAAAAACAAACCAAAACGATGCTGTATGTATTTCCCCACTCTTACAAAATAAAAATATCTTACCTTTCCACTAAAAACTCTGTATTTGCCATCCTTTCTTGTAGTGGCTTGTTTGTTTCTTTTCAGAAACTTTTCCCCGTCCCTTCCCACCAGTCTACCGCTATTTCCTACAGAGGATATTTTGGGAGTGCTCAAGTGGCTGTTTTTCAACCAAATGACACAAAAAATGCAGTGGAGTGATTTCTGCCTATCCTGTAAACAATCCCCATGTTTCAAGCAAATTGGGCCAAAAGGATGAGTTCCACAAGCCCCTGAACAAGGTGTCCTCAGCCATCATAATTGCACTATTATTTCCTATGGGGGATTTTTGCAGAGGGCTGTAGTGGCTGTTTTTCAATGAAGTGTCACAAAAATTGCAGCAGAGTGAGTGCTGCCTATCCTGTAAAAAAACCCCTTCAAGTTCCAAGCAAATTGAGCCAAGGGGAAAGATTCTACAAGCCCCTAAAAAAGCTGCCACCAGTTATCTATTTTTCCAGCCTTATGGAAGTAGCAAAGAGCAAAAGGGGGCCCTCTCAAAACAATTAAAGGAGGGAGGGAAAAAGAACTACAGCTCTCTGTGGCTTGTCTCCAAAGGTGATTGGCTGCAAGCACTCCATGCTCTTTTCTTGCAAGGATCCAGTTGGAAAGGAGAAACACTATTGCTTAGGAAATCAATAGAATCAAAGAAAAAACGCTGTAACTGGCTATCAGCGCCCAAAGGTGAAAAACAACATGGATCTTTGGGGGGGAGGGTGTTTTTGTTACCTAAGAATATTAAAATTGTGTTACCATTCCAGAAGATTATGGTAATGGCCCAAACCAATGATTTCCATTTTCTGTTTTCCCAAAATGGCAATGCCTGTGTTATTTCTTGATTTTCCCTCCTCCTTCTCTTCCTTCCTGCTGTTTTTGCCCAAGAGAAGAATGGGAATCTGCATGCATGTGAGAAGGGTTGCCCCACTTACCCCCTCCTTTCCTGCTACACAGGGTAGCATGCCATCACTCAAGCTTGCCCTTTATTTCTCTACCTGTGCCTTGATGGACAGATAGGGACTCTGAGTGTGTCCTGTGCCTTGATGGACAGATAGGGACTCTTGAGTGTGCGTGCGTGCGTGCGTGCGTGCACTCCTCACACACCTCTTCCCTGGGCAGCTGTCTGTAGTCCAGTCAGGAGTTTCTGCTGTATATGTGAAATGAACAGTCAGGCACATAATTTTTGACTACAGTCTGAGAAGTCTAAAAGGAAAAGATCTTCATTCACTAAAATACAATCTCAATTCACTAGAGCACAAGGCAAAGAAAAATAATATCAAAATATTGCAAGGTATGACAAAACTAATGAAAGAAAATGAACCATATGTATTAGACCTATAGTTTTATGTCTGGATTTTTGCCTCAAAAAGACCAGGCATCTGTGATTCTGTGTGAGAATCTAAATGTTTTTCTTTTATGTGTCCATTGGTGACCCTAGTAAGTGTCCTGGACTGAGATCCCAGTGCTGAGGTTGGAATGTCAGAAGTCAGGAAACAACCATAATTAAGGGATGTAAATAATCTATAAATGATCTTGGCAAAAGGCCAAGAGAAGAGATATGGAGGGGAATTTCAACTTGTAAATTTGCCAAGTGCAGTGTATCAGCCATTGGCCCATCAGCTGCCACTCAAGAGTACTTGCGTGCCATTGGCCAGGTGCTGGGTCTGCTCCTCTTCCCCCCCCCCTCCAGCCACTGTTCCCTGTCAGAATACACTTTCTCTCCTGAGGAAGACACTTCGCCTGCTTGGCTCCTCTGTGGGACTAACTTTTTCTTCAGTGGCTGTTGGTAGGCAACCAAGCTTGGTTCTGTCAGTAAAAATACAAAGAAATGAAGCCCTTTCCAGGCCTTTGTGAGGAACTCATTGGGGTCAGTTCTGACTAGGGTTTCCAGTTCCAGGTTGGGAAATTCCTGCT